GGGTTGGTTTGTGCATTTTCATAGAAGTCATGGACACTAACAATATCTGGGTTTGGTTTGGGTGTTTCTTAGAAGACAGGGACACTAGACATATCTGGGTTTGGTTTGCGCGTTTCATAGAAGACAGGGACACTAGACATATCTGGGTTTGGTTTGTGCGTTTCATAGAAGACAGGAACACTAGACATATCTGGGTTTGATTTGCGCGTTTCATTGAAGACATTGACACTAGACATATCTAGGTTTGATTTCTGTGTTTCATAGAAGACAGGGACACTAGACATATTTTGGTTTGGTTTGTGCGTTTCATAGACGACAGGGACACTAGACATATCTGCGTTTGGTTGTGTGTTGCATAGAAGACAGGGACATTAGACATATCTGGGTTTGGTTTGTGTGTTTCATGGAAGACAGGAACACTAGACATATCTGGGTTTTGTTTGTGTGTTTCATAGAAGACAGGGACGCTAGACATATCTGGGTTTTGTTTGTGTGTTTCATAGAAGACAGGTGCACTATACATATCTGGGTTTGATTTGTGCATTTCATCGAAGATAGGGACACTAGTCATAGCTGGGTTTGGTTTGTGTGTTTCATGAAAGACAGGAACACTAGACATATCTGGGTTTGGTTTTTGTGTTTTATAGAAGACAGGTACGCTAGACATATCTGGGATTGATTTGTGCATTTCATAGAAGACAGAGACACTAGACATATCTGGGTTTGGTTTGTGTGTTTCATAGAAGACAGAGACACTAGACATATCTGGGTTGGATTTGTGCGTTTCATAGAAGACATGGACACTAGCATCTGGGTTTGGTTTGTGCATCTCATAGAAGACAGGGACACTATACATATCTGGGTTTGGTTTGCGCCTTTCATAGAAGACAGGGACACTATACATATCTGGGTTTGGTTTGTGCATTTCATAGAAGACAGGAACACTAGACATATCGGGATTTGGTTTGCGCGTTTCATAGAAGACATGGACACGACATATCTAGGTTTGGTTTCTGTGTTTCCTAGAAGACAGGGACACTAGACATATCTTGGTTTGGTTTGTGCGTTTCATAGAAGACAGGGACACTAGACATATCTGGGTTTGGTTTGTGTGTTTCATAGAAGACAGGTACACTAGACATATCTGAGTTCGGTTTGTGAGTTTCATAGAAGACAGGGATATTAGACATATCTGGGTTTGGTTTGTGCGTTTTATAAAAGACATGGACACTAGATATATCTGGGTTTGGTTTGTGCATTTCATAGAAGACAGGAACATTGGACATATCTGGGTTTGGTTTGTGCATTTCATGGAAGACAGGAACACTAGACATATCTGGGTTTGGTTTTTGCGTTTCATTGAAGACAGGAGCACTATACATATCTGAGTTTGGTATGTGTGTTTCATGGAAGACAGGGACACTAGACATGGCAGGGGTAATTTTACAACCTGCATCATACTCATACTCCTTCTTTTAACCTTTTCGC